TTTATCCCCCGAGAGTGACCGGGAATCTCCAAAACCCCAGCACCTTATTACATATCGTATTTGCCGGCGTATAAGACGACTGGGCGTATAAGACGACCCCCCTACTTTTCCTGCTAAAAATGTAGTGTTTGGGCTATACTCGCCGTATAAGACTACCCCTCTTCCAATGCACACCAGTGGGAGGAATAGTGCCCCATCATTGGTATCAGTAGCAGGAATAGTGCCCCATCATTGGCATTAGTGGCAGGAATAGTGCCCCATCATTAGTATCAGTGGGGGAATAGTGCCCCATCATTGGTATCAGTGGCAGGAATAGTGCCCCATCATTGGTATCAGTGGGAGGAATAGTGCCCCATCATTAGTATCAGTGGGGGGAATAGTGCCCCATCATTGGTGTCAGTGGGAGGAATAGTGTCCCAACATTGGTGTCAGTGGGAGAATGGTGTCCCATCATTGGTGTCAGTGGGGGGTGGAATAGTGCCCCCCATCATTGGTGTCAGTGGGGGGTGGAATAGTGCCCCATCATTGGTGTCAGTGGGGGGGGGGATAGTGCCCCATCGTTGATGTCAGTGGGGGGAGGAATAGTGCCCCATCGTTGGTGTCAGTGGGGGGGGAGGAATAGTGCCCCATCGTTGGTGTCAGTGGGGGGGAGGAATAGTGCCCCATCGTTGGTGTCAGTGGGAGGAATAGTGCCCCATCGTTGGTGTCAGTGGGGGGGAGGAAATAGTGCCCCATCGTTGTGTCAGTGGAGGAATAGTGCCCCATCATAGGTATCAGTGGGAGGAATAGTGCTCCATCATTGGTATCAGTGACACCAATGATGGGGCACTATTCCTCCACTGACACTTGCTGACTCTGTTCTCGTATGGTGCTGCTGCAGCCAGCATATGTGGTTGCAGCAGCACCTCTACACTGACCACTTACCTGCTGGTCCTGCACTCGATTTTCGCAAGGCCGCTCGGCTCCACCCCCTCGCCGGTGATTGGCCGCCTGTGCGCCTTTCCTGAGCTACAGTTCTGGCGGCCAATCGCTGGTGAGGAGGCGGAGCCGAGCAGCCGCGCGAACATCCAGTGGCCCGAACTGAAGGCGCTTCCTGGACCGGATCGTCGTGGGACCGGAACCAGGTAAGAAATAGCCCCTGCCCACCCCTGTTCTTAGTGTCCCTTCCGTTAGGGGAAGGGGGGGGGGCGGCGGCGGCACCGCGCCGCCCCCCTAAAAAGTGTCAGTATGCCGTATACCGGCGTATAAGACGACCCCCTGACTTTTGAGAAGATTTTTAAGGGGTAAAAAGTCGTCTTATACGCCGGCAAATACGGTAGTTATCAAACATGCAGTTTCCTGCTTGATTACTGGTTAGCCTTCTCCCACCCTGTGCCTTCCTACAGGCTACTGAAGATGCCCTTTGCTTTTGATAGCCAATAAGAAGGCACAGGGGACAGAAGAAGGCAGGCCTAACCAGGGAAGCTGTGTAGCAATTATTTACCTAATAGAATACCTGGGTTTGGTGATCCCTAAGCACAGTAGCTAAATGGTTAGCACTTCTGCCTGGCAGTACTAGGGTTGTTGTTTGAATCCCAGCCATGGCACAACCTGCCTAGAGTTTGTATGTTCTCCTTGTGCCTGCATGGGTTTTTTCTGAGTTTTCCAGAGAAATGCCTTGGGCCAGGGGCAGACTGACCATTTGGAAACTCGGGCACTGCCCGAGGGCCCAGGGTTAGTAGGGGGCCCCATGAGATATGAGATGCCCCTGGTACCTTTTTCATAGGCTTTTTTGAGTTTGGGCAAGGACACAAGGGCCCTATGATCCCCTATTGCCCGGGGGCCCCATGAGTTGTCAGTCCGCCCCTGCCTTGGGCACTTACAGTTGCAAGAAAAAGTATGTGAACCCCTTGGGATTATGTGGAGTTTTGCATGAATTGGGCATAAAATGTGCTCTGAACGTCATCTAAGTCACAACAATAGAAGAACACAGTCTGCTGAACATAATACTACACAAACATTAGATGTTGCCATGGTTTAATTGCACATAACAAATGTAAACATTCACAGTGCAGGGAGGAAAAAGTATGTGAACCTTTGGACTTAATAACTGGTTGACCCTCCTTTGGCAGCAATAACCTCAACCAAACGTTTCCTGTAGTTGCAGATCAGACCTGCACAACGATCTGGAGTAATTTTGGACCACTCCTCTTCACAAAACTGTTTCAGTGTAGCAATATTCTTGGGATGTCTGGTGTGAATCGCTCTCTTAAGGTCATGCCACAGCATTTCAATCGGGTTGAGGTCAGGACTCTGACTGGGCCACTCCAGAAGGCGTATTCTGTGCTGTTGCAGCCATTGTTCTGTTGAATTACTTGTATGCTTTGGGTCATTGTCCTGTTGCATCACCCATCCTCTGCGGAGCTTCAGTTGGTGGACAGATGGTCGTAACGTTTTCCTGAAAAATGTCTTGATAAACTCTGGAATTCATTTTCCCATCAATGACAACAATCTGTCCAGGCCCTGAGGCAGCAAAGCAGCCCAAACCATGATGCTCCCTCCGCCATGTTTTACAGTGGGGATGAGGTTTTGATGTTGGTGTGCTGTGCCTTTTTTTCTCCACACATAGTGTTGTGTGTTCTTCCCAAACAACTCAATCTTGATTTCATCTGTCCACAGTATATTTTGCCAGTAGTGCTGTGGAACATCCAGTGCTCTTTTGCAAACTTCAAACGTGCTGCAATATTCTTTTTGGGACAGCAATGGCTTCCTCCGTGGTGTCCTCCCATGTACTCCATTCTTGTTTAATGTTTTCCTTATTGTAGATGTGTCAACAAAAATGTTAGCATGTGCCAGAGATTTCTGTAGGTCTTTAGCTGACACTCTGGGATTCTTCTTTACCTCATGCAGCATTCTGCGCTGTGCTCTTGCAGTCATTTTTTACAGGACGACTACACCTAGGGAGAGTAGCAACAGTGCTAAACTTTCTCCATTTATAGACAGTCTGTCTTACCGTGGACACATGAACATCAAGGCTTTTGGAGATACTTTTGTAACCCTTTCCAGCTTCATGCAAGTCAACAATTCTTTTTTCGTAGGTCTTCTGAGAGCTCTTTCTGCGAGGCATGGTTCACATCAGACAGTGCTTCTTGAAACCAGTAAACCCAAAACAGGTGTGTGTTTTTTAAGGGCAGGACAGCTGTCAGCAACACATCCAATATCACCACACTGATTGGAGTCAAGGTTGGCTCACTCCTGGCTCCAATAGCTCTGGGGGAAGTCATTAAGCTAGGGACTCACATACTTTTTCCTCCCTGCACTGTGAATGTTTACATGTTATGTGCAATTAAACCATGGCAACATCTAATGTTTGTGTAGTATTATGTTCAGCAGACTGTGTTCTTCTAATGTTGTGACTTAGATGACGTTCAGAGCACATTTTATGCCCAATTCATGCAAAACTCCACGTAATCCCAAGGGGTTCACATACTTTTTCTTGCAACTGTATGATTGGTAGGGTGCAGTGCCAGTTTCCTGGAGGGATAGCTGAGGTACGTTTGGACTAGAATCTGGACACACCTGAGCTGATCCCTACTGATGAGGTCCCAGCAATTACCAGAGCCCGCCTGGATGAAGTTTGCTATGGCTACCACACACACTCCATTTTTATTTAATGCATTAAGACAGTTAACCAATGCAAAGTATCAACCTTATTTCATTTTCCTGTTTCTATCTCTCATGGTACAAAACAATGAACAATGAGGGGTATGAAGGAGATAATCTCATAGATGCTTTGATTTGCAGATTCAGACGTTACACGCACTTGTGTAATTACAGGCTTTTCACAGGTAAAACCACCTGTATTTAGGAGGGATCAGTATAGCACTTGTTCCTGGAGAAGATTCTCACTGTATATTACAGCATACAATACAATTAAGTGGAGCAATCTGGAAAGAGACAGTTCCAACATGTCTACACAAGCACACCACTGCTGAACTCAGCTTGGAGAGGAAATTAACTGTGTTGGCAGTATTAAAAAAGGAAAGTGAAGGCAATGAAAATGTCCAAAATACAGTAACCATAGCAACAAGATTATTTGATAGGATGTTTGACCATAACAAAATTGATTGGTTGCTATGGGATACCATACTCTGTACATGTCTCTACACATGGACTGTTAACTAAAATATGGAAAGATGAACTAATTTATGATGTTGGAGCATATTACAGCGGGAAAATAAAGGGAAGGGAGGGCAGTGCTATGAGCGAATCAGGCTCTGCTGGAGTGCACATGTGCTGACAAATGACATGATGACAGGAAGAGAAAGTAGCATGGGATGAAAGACAGGAATTAAGAAACTTACACATAAACGAACATTGGGCTTAAAAAAAATTTAATAAATGTAAACTTTCACCTTGTAAAACAACCCATTCAGTTTAAAAAATAAAAATGAAATGCTAAACACACATATACTGTATATATATATATATATAGTATATTTTAGAAAAATGACCCTGAACTTGGTCATTAGATATTTTAAAAATAATATTTGCTTAACTTTCCTTCTGATGGTTTGGCTTCAATTCTTTAAGACTCACTTAAAGGTATGTTAATTTTACCTGAAAAGGTGAATTTACCCCAAATATCTTGGCCACCCCTCTGGACCCCGCTGCACATAGTGGCTGTGATGTCCTGTGTTGCTGGTGTAGTGGTCCGTACACCATAATACAGAGCACTGGAATGAGCATTCTTCATAATGTTTACAAGCACTCATTGGTCAATGCAACCATGTGACCATGCCGACCAATAAAAAGCACTTCTTTCTTCTGGAACACCTTACCAGAAAAAGAAGCCTCGGATGTTTTTTCTTATTGGTAAGCACAGTCATGTGCCATGCTGACCAATGGGCGCTCGTAGACGTGTGGTTTTTTTCATTCCGAGTTCAAATTCGGACACATTTTTCGTTATCTATCTTCGTATATCTCCGAATTTCCGAATTACATTAGTAACATATCTGAAGTAACCTGAAGGCCACATAAAGTTTGGAGGTCTTTAGCTATTGCAAACAGTTGGTGACTTCTGTGTGTTTCAGCATGTGCTGACCCCGCTCTGTCATTTTACGTGGCCTACCACTTCGTGGCTGAGTTGCTATTGTTCCCAGTTACTTCCACTTTGTTATAATACCACTCACAGTTGACCGTGGAATATTTAGTAGCAAGGAAATTCCACAGATGGACTTATTGCACAGGTGGCAACTTATCACGGTACCACACTTGAATTCACTGACCCGACCCATTCTTTCACAAATGTTTGTAGAAGCAGTCTGCATGCCTAGGGGCTTGATTTTATACACCTGTGGCCATGGAGGTGATTGGAACACCTGAATCCAATGACTTGGAGGGGTGTCCTAGTACTTTTTGCAATATAGTGTATATATATATATTGTAAGCCCTAATGAGCAGGGCCCTCTATTTCCTCTTGAACCAATTTGTATTGTAACTGTAATGTCTACCTCCATTTTGTAAAGCGCTGCTCAAACTGTTGGCGCTATATAAATTATGTATATTAATAATTTTACATATATATATATATATACACATTTTTTTTTTTCCCTTTTTTATAAATGATCTGATTCCCTCTATTCTCAGCAGCATAAGGAGCTCAGGGTGGAGAAACAGCAGCACATTGATCTTCCCACTGAATGGCTGTGCAGAAGGGTGGGGGGTGAGGGCTGTTGGCAGAAAGCCTGATCATTGGATGAGACCAGGACGAGTTCCCAGCACAGTCAGAAAACTGACCACACTGTGCTCTTATGCCTAGTGTGGTCAGTTTTTAATAGGAAAGCAGAGGGACTGGCAGGAACACCAGGGATTTCACAAAAAGGAAGCAATACAAAGAGAACAGGATACATTTTCATACAAGTACATGGTACAGCAGGTACATATCAGGAATATGAAATGTTCGGTTTACATATTATTTAATTATTAAAAAGAGTTACCAAATATAATATTAATAGAAATGCAAATAACTTATAACCAAGGATCATAGGCCTAGCTTTAGCATCTCAGGCCTACCTAAATCATCATGTATCATAAATTCTCTAAGCTGAATAACCACCCCCTTCTTAATAATACTGCAACAGTAATTAACACAAAAAGTATTAGGGTGGAGGGGGAGCTGGACAATGCTCTGACTCCATCCCCTTTCCCCCACTATATTAATATAACAAATAATTAATTTAAAATTTAAATTTAGTTGTTGTGTAACATAGAAGTAATGCATTTCACAATTCAGAATCGTCCAATGGGGACACTTGTTTCGGTGACAACTGTCTAAGAGCGCCCTTTCTCTTGAACATAGCACAGAACTAGGATTGGTCAGTTATAGGGAAAAATCAACTGTGGGGAGACCACATGTAATGCTTTTCCTTCTGCCTGCCTTTTCTCAGGCACATCTTCCTTTTTTAGGGTTTGTTCATGTTGTGGGAGGTGATGGGCAGTGCAATGTGTTGTTATAATGTGTTGCAGGTCACTTACCTATTGCAATAAAACTGATATCATTTTCTAAAGCAGATACAAGGATATGCCTGCAGGAACCTCCTTATGATTTTGAGAACCCAGGAACCCTGGAGTGGTAAATATTAAATATGGATGTCTGCCTCTTCTCTGGTCATGTGATGCACCTTTATGGCCAGTATGGGGGTGGTCATTTCTGGGAGGTCAGCTGAAAATCAGTGATTGCATGTTTACCATCCCATATTTGGGTGGTCTAGGGCAGGGGTCTCCAAACTTTCTAAGCAAAGGGCCAATTTACTGTCCTTCAGGCTTTAGGGGGGCCGGACTGTGGCCAGTGGGAGTAGAACATGTCATGGCATCAGTGACCCATCATTGGTTTTAATGGGAGGAATAGTGCCCCACTGTTGTTATCAATGAGGAAAATAGTGTCATTAGGGGGAATGATGCTCCATCATTGGTGTCAGTTGATGGAACAGTGACCCGAGGGCCAGATAAAGGCAAGCAGAGGGCCACATCAAGCCCCCGGGCCGCAGTTTGGAGACCACTGCTCTAGGGTGACCAAGGAGCATAAAAAAGGGTGCATTTAGGGGTGCCAGCTTTTAAATGATTTTGCCGGCAAGTCTACAACATCACAGTGTTAGGTTTACATTGAATACTGTTTATTTGCTATGTCTGGACAAACACAAGGAAATATAGCACCCTCTTGTGGGTATTTTTTAAACTGAATTTCTCAATTTCCCATTTTTATCAATAATATCTTTACTGGCATGCATTTATTATTATTATTATTATTATTATTATTATAATACAGGATTTATATAGCACCAACAGTTTGCTCAGCACTTTACAATATAATGGGAGACAATACAGCAATGATACAGTTCAATACAAGAGGGATAGGAGGGCCCTGCACCTTGGAGTTTATAATCTAAGAGGGAGGGGCTGGTGGTACAAAAGGTAATAACTGTGGGGGATGAACTGATAGAAGGAATAGAAGATTTTGTTATTAGCTGAAGACAGGATAGGCTTCCCTGAAGAGAAAGGTTTCAGAGATCGCCTAAAAGTGGGCAGAGTAAGCGATAGTCGGATAGATTGGGTAGAGAGTTCCAGAGGATGGAGAAGGCTCTGGAGAAGTCCTGGAGACAAGAATGGGAGGAGACAAGGGAGCTTGAGAGCAGGAGGTTGTGGGAGGAGCGGAGAGGACGGTTTGGGTGATATTTGGAGACAAGATTGGTGATTTCATTTGGGGCTTTATATGTTATTGTTATTGTACTGGGCAATGGGAAGCCAGTGGAAGGACTGGCAGAGAGGGATGGCAGATATGGAACGGTTAGTAAGGTGGAGGAGTCTGGCAGTTCTATAAAGGTTTTTATTGCTGTGCTATTGCTGATGAGATTCACCCTCTTTATTTGTTCTGATGACCAATGTCAATGGAACTGAAATAAGGAACAACCTACATTTTGTGTTGTCACCAGAACGGAGTTGGAGGGAAACTCTTCTAACTGGGACATTTGGGCTGGTGACAACTATGCGTGTCCCTAACATTGCACTCTTTCCTGACACGCACAGAAACACATTGCCCGTTAGCAGACGAGCGGTGGTGGTGCTCCCATGTATCTGCAAGCACACATTTTCACATGTGCCAAACTGCATCGTGCCGCAGCACCATGTGATTTGATGTAGGGTGTTTTTGGAAAGGAGCCAGGGATTTCTTTTTTTGTGTTTTCCACGTATAGGGCAGCCCATTGAAATGAATGGAAGGGTTGTGCCCACGCTTGGTCAAACCTGTAGGTGAAACCGAGTTTCTTGTCTTCCCCCCCAGCCCGGACACCACCCCCCACTGACTTCTCCATCACATCCAACAACCCCACCATCAAACCCGCCCCACAGGCCAGAGTACTTGGTGTCATTCTGGACTCCAACCTATCCTTCCAGCCCCAAGTCCAATCTTTAACAAACTTGTGCAGACTCCACCTCCGCAACATCGCCAAAATCCGCACGTTCCTAACCCCAGAAACCACTAAACAGCTCATCCACTCCCTCATCATATCACGACTCGACTACTGCAACTCCCTCCTCACTGGCCTGCCTCGCCGCTGGCTATCCCCGCTTCAGTCAATCCTGAACACGGCTGCCAGACTCATTCACCTTTCCAACCGCTCCATCTCTCCGCCACCCCCCTCTGCCAATCCCTCCACTGGCTTCCGATTGCGCAACGGATCAAATTCAAAATCCTAACACTGACGTACAAAGCCGTCCACCATACTGCCCCGAACTACATCACTGACCTAATATCCAAGTACCACCCAACACACACACTCCGCTCCTCACAAGACCTCCTTCTCTCTAGTTCCCTGGTCTCCTCCTCCCATGCCCACCTCCAGGACTTCTCCAGGGTGTCACCCATCCTCTGGAACTCCCTCCCCCAACCCATCAGATTATCACCTACTCTCCTCTCCTTTAGGCACACCCTGAAAACCCACCTCTTCAGGGAAGCCTACCCCACCCCCTGCTAACTTGCCGACCTCCTCCACTCTTCCTACCACTCAATCCCCCACAGCTATCTCCTCCTGTACCACCATCCTCTCCCTCCTAGATTGTAAGCTCGAAAGAGCAGGGCCCTCAATCCCCTCATGTTTTGCATTGTATTGGTATTGTTCTGTCACATTTTCTGTCCCCCTTTGTAATGTACAGCGCTGAGCGAACTATTGGCGCTTTATAAATACTGTATAATAATAATAATAAGAACGGATTTCCTCTCACTTCCTGTTGTGTCTATAGGACAGAAAATGAAGGGATGCAGATACAACCTGAAAATCTTAACTGCATTTTAAATTAATAATTTCCTTAACCACGTCATGCCCAGAGTAGTTTTTAATTTATTACATTTTGTACTAGAAATCTACTTAAACCCCTGTGACGGAGCGTAGGCAGGACAGAACACACAGAGCAGATGATAAACACACAATGCTTTATTAAAGAACTGACAGTCACTCAATTGGGATCTGCAGGTAGCGTGGCAGTACCCAGTCTAGGGGAATAGCAAGGAGAGGGCTCAAAATAATTGTAACCCGTCCCCAAGGGGCAAGTTAGAGTCTCTAGCGATTTGTAATCCAAGTACGGAGCAGAGGGGGAACAGAGTTCAAGAACAGTCCAGGGGGAATAAAACAGGGGTGCAGACACTCACGGCTCCGGCCGGGATGTCCTGGCTCACAGCGGACGGCAGCAGGAGCGACCCTGCTCAGCACACAGCAACAGCGGGTAATTCTAGCACACAGCGGGTAATCCGGGCCCCAGAGTATTAGGCAGAGTATCGTGGGGCCCACAGCAGATAGTCCTGACCCAGGGTATTAACAGAGTCAGCGGTACTCCCAGCCCTGGAGTATTAGCAGAGTGTCAGCGGTACTCCCAGCCCTGGAGTATTAGCAGTGTCAGCAGTATTCCCAGCCCTGGAGTATTAGCAGAGTTTCAGCGGTACTCCCCCAGCCCTGGAGTATTAGCAGAGTGTCAGCGGTACTCCCAGCCCTGGAGTATTAGCAGAGTGTCAGCGGTACTCCCAGCCCTGGAGTATTAGCAGAGTGTCAGCGGTACTGTCCCTCCCAGCCCTGAGAGTATTAGCAGAGTGGCAGCGGGTGCTCCCAGTCCTGGGAGTCTTAGTTCTGACCTGTTCAGGGGGGGGAAGAAGAGTCTCTTGCAGAGCGCCCAGCGGTTATCTTGGTGGAGGTTCGGTCCTCAGTCGGACCTCCCAAAGAACAGCGGCGGCAGCAGGCGAAAAAGACACCTCACCACCTCACTCACCCACTAGGCACCCTCCTACTCCCACAAACTGCCGCAACCCCCTCAACCTAATACCTGTCCCCCTGCTCTCCACATCCACCCCTCCATTCTCGTGTGCACTCCTGAACGCCCGATCGGTTAGCAACAAGCTCACCGCCATCCATGACCTCTTTATCTCCCACTCCCTCAACCTCCTAGAGGTCACCGAAACCTGGATCCAAGCCACTGACTCTACCTCCCCTGCAGCACTCGACCTATGGAGGTCTCGTCTGGACCCATTCACCCAGACCAAGCGGTCGTAGAGGTGGTGGGGTCGGCATGCTCTTGTCACCGGTGAGCACCTTCCAGGTCCTCCCAAACCCCCCCCCCTCTATCCTTCTCCTCCTTTAGACCCACTGCATCCAGCTATTCTCTCCCACCCCTCTGAGGATTGCAGTAATCTATCGGCCTCCTGGTCCCGTATCCCACTTCCTTGACGATTTCGCCGCCTGGCTACCCTTCTTCCTCTCCTCTAAGCTCCCACCATCATCCTTGGAGATGTCAATATCCCTATCAACGTCAATAACCCGGTTACATCCCAACTCCTCCACCTTACCTCTTTTGCACTCACACAGTGTACACAGTCCGACGGGAACACCCTGGTCCTTGTTTTCTCTCATCTCTGCACCCCCCACAACCTCACAAACACCCCCTTCCCTCTCTCTGACCACAACCTCATTACGTTCTCCATCTCCCTGTCCTCAAACACCTCCCCCCCCAAATGTCAAACCATCACCAGCCGTAACCTCCGCAACCTGAACCCTGCCCCTCTCCACTCTGCAGCTGACCGATTTTACGACAGTATCCTTCCACTGTCCTGCCCTGACCTGGCCACTACTGCTTATAACAACTCGCTGTCAGCCGCCCTAGACTCCTTAGCACCCCTAACCACATGTAGCATTAGACCCCGATCGCTTCAACCCTGGCAGAACGATCACACCAAAAATCTTAAATGACGCAGTTGTGCGCTGGAGCAATTATGGCACAAAACCAGATCCCCTCAAGCGTTCACCCTTTACAAATCAGCCTTCCTCACCTACACCTCCTCCCTCCACGCTGCCAAACAAGCCTACTTCGTAACCCTCATCAATACCCTCTCCTCCAGTCCTCGCCGGCTCTTCTCTACTTTTTTAACTCCCTACTCTCTCCCCCCCCCCACCTCCACCCAGTACCTCACTCACCGCCCACAAGATTGCTAACCACTTCCAAAACAAGATCGACACAATTCGTAAGGACATCGCCAATGCTCAATCTTCCACCCCACCTAGCCTCCCTCCCACGATAACCCCCTCAACACTCCCCTCCTCTGACCACGCAACTGCTCTGACCTCCACCACACCTAACATTCCGTACACTAAAACCCCCTCAACACTCCATTCCTTCGGCCTAGCTACCACGGAAGAGGTCACTAAGGTCTTCTCAGAAGCCCGCCTCACCACCTGCCCCCTTGACCCTGTCCCCGCACAACTCCTCCGGTCACCCTCCTCCTCCATCCTATGTTCCCTCACCCACATCTTCAATCTCTCCCTCTCTACTGGCACATTCCCCTTCCCCCTAAAGCATGCGCATATCACCCCATACTCAAAAAACCCTCCCTGGACCCCACCGACCTGAACAACCTTAGACCCATCTCCCTGCTGCCATTTACATCCAAACTCCTCGAGTGCTTAGTCTATAATTGCCTAAGCTCCCACCTCAACCACAACAACCTCCTTGATCCCCTACAGTCTGGCGTCTGTCCCCTACACTCCACCGAAACCGCCCTACTCAAAATCACCAACAACCTGCTAACCACCAAAGCTAATGGCCACTACTCAGTCCTCCTACTCCTCGACCTCTCCGCGGCCTTCGACACAGTTGACCACCCACTTCTACTTAATAAACTATACTCCCTTGGCATCAGAGACTCCGCTCTCTCCTGGCTCTCCTCCTATCTATCCCAGCGCTCCTTCAGTGTTACCTACAACGCTGCAACCTCCCCTCTCTGTTGGGGTCCCCTAAGGCTCTGTCCTCGGGCCCCTTCTCTTCTCCACCTACACCTCCTCCCTTGGCCAACTGATACAGTCCCATGGCTTCAACTACCACCTCTATGCCGATGAAATGCAAATCTACCTCTCTACCCCTCGCCTCACCCCTTCAGTCTCCACCCGAATCACCTGCCCACTGAACGACATATCAGACTGGAATTCACTCCACTTCCTCAAATTAAACCTTTCCAAAACCGAGCTCCTAGTTTTCCCCCCAGCCCTTACCCCTCCCTTACCCCTCCTCTCCATCATGACCAATAACGCCACCATCAGTCCCACACCACAAGCCAAAGTCCTAGGTGTCACTCTAGACTCCAATCTGTCCTTCCAACCCCATGTCCAATTGCTGGCAAATTCATTCAGGCTCCACCTTCAAAATACGTTCGTTCCTAACCCCAGACACTACTAAACAACTCATTCACTCCTTTATTATCTCACGACTCGACTACTGTAACTCCCTCCTCACCGGCCTACCTCATCGCAGACTATCCCCCCGCTTCAGTCTATCCTGAACTCAGCGGCCAGACTCATCCACCTTATCAACTGCTCCGTATCTGCCACCCCCCTCTGTCATTGCCTCCACTGGCTTCCGATTGCCCAACACATTAAATTCAAACTACTAACATTGATGTACAAAAACTATTCATAATACTGCCCCAAACTACCTTACCGACCTGATATCCAAATACCACCCAACACGTACTCTTCACTCCGCACAAGACCTCCCACTCTCTAGCTCCCTAGTCTCCTCCTCCCATGCCCGACTCCAGAACTTCCCCCATCCTCTGGAACTCACTACCCCAATCCATCAGACTGTCACCTACCCTCCTCAACTTTAGGTGCACCCTGAAAACCTATCTCTTCAGGGAAGCCTACCCCGCCCTCACCTAACAGCCGTTCTCCTCCACTCCTACCACTCCATCCCCCCGCAGCCACTTCTTACTGTACCACTATCCCCTCCCTCCTAGATTGTAAGTTCCAATGAGCAGGGCCCTTGACCCCCTCGTGTATTGTATTGTTACTGTATTGTCTCATGTACTGTCCCCCACTACAATGTACAGCGCTGAACAAACTTTTTGGCGCTATATAAATACTGTATAATAATAATAATATTACATGTTTGTTTTCAGGTTTAGTTATATATAGCAGTATTTATTTATTTCAGGTACTTATATAGCACTGTCAACTTACGCAGCGCTTTACATAGATATATATTGAACATTCACATCAGTCCCTAACCCTCATAGGGTGTACAATCTAAGGTCCCTAACTTACATGCATACATACATATATTAGGGCCAATGTAGACAGGATCCAATTAACCTACCAGCATGTCTTTGGAGTGTGGGAGGCACAGGGAGAACATGCAAACTTCATGCAGGAGGCGCCATGGTCGGGAATCGAACCAACGACCCATTTACTACAAGGCAGATGTGCTAACCACTAAGCCACTGTGCCATCCGTATTAAATAAATTATGCAATACCAAAATTAAATAAATAAATACATTTGTGTCCTGTATTCCATTTATTCTAACATCTTCTGCCATTATTTTATATTTGAGATGCAAATTTGACAAAGAATTGGTTGCATTGTGATTTTACCTATAAAACTGCAGTGTGCCACTGCTACACTGGAGGGCGATATGATACCAAAATTATGTTCATCGCTACAAAATCCTTTATCTTTGAATTTCAGGGTCAGTGTCTGGTTTTGAGGATGTGTCCCTTGAAACATGTCCTAGTTTTCAGCCTAACTGTGACTTAAAATCTCTATTTTCTGTATCAAAGACTCCATGCTAATCATTGACTTAGATTTAGTTTTTATCAGCTATTAACATAACAAAAGGGTTTTCAGGTTTTCAAGTAAGCATTCGCATTCACAGCCAAATTTGAGAAACCCCCTCACTGCATGTTTGGAATTTGTTCCCATTCACACAGCATTCTTAAAAATAATAAAAAAAAAATATGTTTTATTTTTTTTTTAGTTATTTCTGTTGAGTAGGTTTACACAGGTGAGATTTACTAAAACTGGAGCACTCAGAATCTGGTGCAGCTGTGCATGGTAGCCAATCAATTTATAACTTCAGCTTGTTCAATTAAGCTTTGACCAAAAAAAAAAAAAAAATCTGGAAACTGATTTTGCACTCTCCAATTTTAGTAAATAGTCCCCACAGGACTCTATAGGCAGCTGGTTATGTTCAGGATATCTTGTAATATGCAATAGAGGACACACTGAGTTTTTTTTTTTTTAAGTCCATTAACACGCTATGTATTACCCAAGCCTTGAGATCTTTAACCACCTTCCGCCTGCCCTATAGTACAATGACGGGCGCAAGGTGGTTCTCTCGTTCTGATAGGATGTCATATGACGTCCTACCATTCTCACTGCGCATGCGCGGCTCAGGGATCGCGCAGCGCGGCAATCGCCGGTGCGTTGTGTCCCTAGGACACAGCGGAACATGGAAAGAGCCAAAGATGTCGGCTCGGTCATGTGATCAAATGTGTCCAATCACAGCTGATCACATGTAAACACGGAAATGCCAGTTATCGGCATTTCTCTCCTCTCGAGCTGTCACGCTGACAGCTCGAGAGGAGAGGAGAGCCGGTAATCGGCTTTCCGCAGAGGGGACAAGTACACAGATCATCAGGGCGCTGATGATCAGTGTGCCCTGATGATCAGTGTGGCCCCAGAAGTGCCACCTGTCAGTGCTCATCAGTGCCAGGTGCCAGTACCCATCAGTGCCACATCAATGCCACATATCAGTGCATACCAGTGCACATCAATGCCACATATCAGTGCCCATCTGAGCTGCCTTTCAATGTCACCAATCAGTGCCAGTCAGTGCCACCTATCAATGCCAATCAGTGCCACCTATCAGTGCTGCCAATCAGTGCCACCTATCAGTGCCAGTCAGTGCTGCCTATCAGTGTGCATCAGTGCCGCCTATCAGTGCCATTCAGTGCTGCCTATCAGTGCCACCTATCAGTGCCATATATCAGTGTCATGTATCAGTGCTGCCTTTCAGTGCCCATCAGTGATGCCTGTCAATGCCCATCAGTGCAACCTACCAGTGCCTCCTCATCAGTGCCCATCAGTGCCACCTATCAGTGTCCATCAGTGCAGCCTATCAGTGCCCATCACTGCAGCCTCATTAGCGCACATCAGTGAAGGAGAAAAATCACTTATTTACAAAATTGTATAACAAAAACTAAGAAAAAAACTTTTTTTTTTCAAAATTTTTAGTGGTTTTTAGTTTTTTTAAAGAAAAAATAAAAATCCCAGAGGTGATTAAATACCACCAAAAAAAAAGCTCTATCTGTCTCAAAAAAATGTTAAAAATTTCATATGGGTACAGTGTTGCATGACCGTGCAATTGTCATTCAAAGTGTGACAGCGCTGAAAGCTGGAAATTGGCCTGGGCAGGAAGGGGGTATAAGTGCCCTGTAGGCAAGTGGTTAAAGTGGAAGTATAGGCCAATACAAGTTTGATAAGGTTGCCTACTACCTATGATGTTTATCATTTGTAAAAGAGATCTGTGTAAATACCTTTTTTTACATCAGCTCTGGGCCGATCAGTGATGTAGAAGCTGTGGTTCCCTGAGGCAGCTAGTGGCTGCTGTAGGGGATGGGAGGGACCAATGACAACAGAGAGGCAATGGAAGCCAGTGGGTGACGTCATGAATACAGGCCTATGGTCAAGTGCTCCCTGACACAGGAGCTACGGTTTCTCAATCTTGATAGCACTGAAGCTGATTACAAAAGGTATTTACACAGGTGTATTCTACAAATGGAGGGGGGAGGAGCAACATTTTTCATAAAACGTATATTAGCTTATACTTCCACTTTGCTAGGACAGACAGTGCGCACATTTGGTTTACAGCTGATAATGGAGACCTGCCAGCACAATACAGACATTAACTTACCAGCCCTTTGCTTAACATTACATAAAAGGGGAAATCAAAGTTAGATTTTTTCAGCAGATAAAAAGCCAGTAGAAAGGAAAGCAGCGATTTTTCATTTTTTAAGTGTTTTTCCATTTTGCAGTCAAATTTGAGGAAAACAATGAGATATTTTTTACATTTTAGATGTTTCTCAAGAGAAAGCTTCATGGCAGCCTGCAAGGATTTCTTACAAATTTCAGACTGAGTCTGGGCTAATAGAATGGATAAGGACAGTCTGAGTTTCCCCAAATTAACATACAATACAGGATGCAGACTTCTAAATCTTTATAGCCCATATCCAGTAAATGTCTTCCCCTGTGCTGCAGGGGTTGAATGCTCGTTTACCCTAGGGGACAGTAAAGCACTTTTACTTATCCAGTCCTCCACTCTCCTGGCAAATGGCACTCCCCTATGCTCCAGCAGTGGACTGTCCCTTGACATATTTCAATCCAATGCAGGACTATGGTCCCTGCATTGGTCATGATGACAACAGAGGCATCTGAGTGCAGGGAAGAGCTGTGCGGACCAGACTAGTAGCGTGGAGGACCCTGCAGGAGCGGAGGATCAGGCTTTACCTGGCACCTTAGACATAAACGAGCAGTTAACCCTTGCAGTGTGGCTGCAGCCCCATTGCAACGGAGGACTTCTACTCTTCCCTGGGCTGCCCCATTTTTTCATTAAATTTCAACTCTTTCAGTCTTGGAAGCTCTGCAAGAGGATAAAGTTACACATTCTCTGTTTCATCAAATGTCATAATGCTAACAGATCTTGCAAGACATATGTTGTTATTCCTATGGAAAACCTAACGCGTTTCAAAGCATACTTCTTCAGGGAACATGGAGAACATTTAAAATATACAAACTTTTTAATTCTAAATTATGTTTCATCCAATAGTTCAAGACTTCACCAACGTAACTAAAATTGGCAAAGTCTTGAACTATTAGATAAAACATAGAAGTTATAACTCAAAATTGTTATAATTTAGACGTTTTCTTTACCCCCTGAAGAAGTATGCTTCGAAACGCGTTGGGTTTTCCATACGAATAACACTATTGATGGTCAGCGATGGTTTGTTTTAAAGCTTTATTACTGCTTAAGAATTTGTAAAGCTTTCATGTCCCTAGTTCAGGCACATGTGCAAGTGCAGTATACATTTGTTAGAGTTAATAATGGGAAAATAATATCTGGATTAATAAAATCTTTCATGTAAATAGTCATCAATGTGTGCTCAGGTTTTAACAGCAATGTTTCTCTTTTCATTTTCTTATAATTAGTACACCAAGATACTCCTGGATTTACATCGAACCTATTATGTTTACAGGATATTGTTCCTGCTAAGTAGGGCTACACAATGTTGTGATTTGCAAATGCAAGAGTTTTGCTTCATAAAAATGAACAAGTGTAAATAGGCCGTTTAAAAAAAAAGTCACTTAATCGATTGTGAATACAGCAAAAATAAGAAGTAACTACCAGTAGTTATTTAGTATTTAAAGTTAGGTATTTAATCTCATGGATTGTTAGTATTTTTATCCTTACAGTAAAAGGATCCTGTTATCATTTGAAAAATTGTACGTAATTGTCTGTGCTGGTCCAGCTCCTCTACCCCTCCTTTTACCTCCTTACATAACCTTTTGTGTAGCAACAGGGTGAGGAGCAAAGAGCAATACTATAGAGTCTGCTGGGCCTGCTAACATTACATCCAAGATGGCAGCACCTGTCAGCAGTCTCAGGGGTTTTGGTTGCATACAATATGTTAAGTGCACAGCTTATGGGAAAATTGTATTTCAAATGAACAGTCTGACAACAGGGACTCTTTAAATGGCTCTTTTTTAAATTTTCCAAATAAACAGTGTACATCACAAGTATTGCCAGGCAGAAGCTGGCAGTATTTTTAAGGATTGATAACCTGTCCAATAATCAGCTCTATGAACTCCTTACCTCCAAAAAGTCATGCAAATAAAAACAAAGGATACATTTTTAAAGTAAATTTTAGTAACATAAAACACACAAACACATTGCTACATTTAATCCGATGATGTCCGATGACGAAATGCGTTGGAAAGATCTAGGTACACAGACACACAGGACATCTGCTCAAACCAAGCTCACACCTGTTAAGCCATTGTAACCCAGTGTTTATTTTTGATTATATGTTTAACTGGTTCCCCACCACCCCTATAGCAGAACTACTGCTACAAGGTGGCAGGGCTGTATACGTGATTTTGCATTTCCGGGTAGGGGGTACGCACGCTCCCCTACCTGTGCAGCTGTTGGCGGCTACAGCTGTCGATCACTGGGTCCCGGACGAGAGATTCCCTTCCGGCAGCTGGAGATCACCAAGGAACAGTAACAGGGGAGAGGTCTGTATGTAAACAACACAGATCTCTCCCCTGTCAGCACTGACATGCTGCTTTGTATCGCTCTGCATAGCGGAGTGATACAAAGCAGTATGTTTCCCTAGTAAAACAGCACACAGCACACATAGTAGAACACACACAGCACACAGTTAACCCTGTGATTGCCCAGATGTTAACCTCTCCTGCCCAGTGCCATTAGTACAGTGTCAGTGCTTTTTATTAGCACTGATCACTGTATTAGTGTCACTGGGGATGTCATTGGCAGTTAGTCAGTTCCCCCCAGTGTCAGAATGCCTGCCGCAGTCTCTCTATAAGTCGCTGATCGCCGCCATTACTAGTATAAAAAAAAAAAAAACCTGAAGATTCCAGTATAAATACCACCATTTGTAGACGCTATAACCTTCATATAAACCAATTAACTTACATTTATTGGGATTTTTTTTTTAGCATAGACATGTAGCAGAATACATTTGGCCTACATTTATGATGAAATTAGATTTTTTTTTAAAAATGTTTAAAATTTTAAAAACATTTTTACTGGATATGTTTTATAGCAAAAAATAAAAAACTGTTTTTTTTCAAAAGTTTTGTCTTTTTTTTTTATAGCGCAAAAAAATACCACTGAAATAAAGATCTATGTATGGGAAAAAAGGACATACATTTCATTTGGGTGCAGCGTTGCATGACTGCAATTGTCAGTTAAAGTAACACAGCGCAAAAGATGTCATGGTCAGGAAGGGTGTAAATCCTCTGGAGGGCAAGTGGTTAATAAAAGATTTTATGCTATGGCACCCTTTGTTTCCCTTATCATCTTTGGTGAAGAGAGATAAATGGAGGAAGGCAAATGAAGACCCCAGGTGTCACTTGTATGGATGTACAGGAATGGAAAGAACTACAGATGAGAGATCTTTAAGCACACATGACCCACTTTTAACCAAGGGGCCTTATTCTCTGGTGAGTTCTTGTTCTTTAGCCCTGATTCACACTGTGTGGGCTGGTTGCGGGAATCACATCTCTTTCCTCACCAGCAGCCACTTACGAGATGCACGAAGCTGACACCCCCACGCATTTCAGCCTGCAGAGTGCTTGCGGGAACCATAGGGAAACTTGCATGGTCAAAAAGACTGTCTGATTTCCCTGCGGCCGCGTTTTTAAAAAGGTGCATGCACCTTTTTTTGCAGAAAACACAGGCATAGCAGCCCATTCACAGGAATGGGCTATCATGTCCTCGCGAACACAGGCCGTATGGCCCACAGGAGTGTGAACCAGGGCTTAGGAGGTGTTTTCCTTAATGTGTATGGGTGGAGTACAGCACAGTGTGAAAGAACTGGAGTGTCATGGAGCACTTTGATTAAAGTTGGAGCACTATGACACAAGTTGGAGCTTGGAGGAGTGCTATGATACAAATTGGAGCACTTGGATTTAAGCACTTTGATTCAAGTTGGAATGTTCTAGAGCAGTTTAATACAAATTGGACACTAACTTTTGATCTTATTTATTTTTTTTATTTATTACAGGTACTTACATAGCACCGTCAATTTACTGAGATTTATATAGATTATTATACATTCACAATTGCAGTCCCTGCCCTCAAGGGGCATACAATCTAAGGTCCCTAACTTACATTCATACATACACATACTAGGGCCAATTTAGACAGGAGCCAATTAACCTACCAGCATGTCTTTG